CCCTTTCGCCAGTATGTACGAGCTGCCTCCAGGAGACTTCGAAACTCGTGGCATGCTTGAACTAATAAGTTTACAAACACAACCGTCCAAAAATAAATACACTGTATTTGCAAACACTTCAACTGCCAAGTGTAGTGTCTGTATTGTTTGTTACTCACAAACAGAACCGCCCACTTTGCATAATCCAAGCTTTAATGAATGACGTCACCGTTCGTTATCAGCACAGACCGTCACAAAACTCCATAGCATGAATGAAAACGGCCAAAAAACAAAGTTTTTCACAGATATAAATGTCGGTTCATGATTTTTCCCGAAAACAACTTTCAAAGCATTTCATTAACAATTAGCCCATGTAAATTTTGCTGCTAACGTTGATTGAAGTTTGAAATCATAAAAGTGCCGATTTCTCGGTGTTCGGTTTTTGGCAATTACCGTTGACCTAATTTTAAATGGCGTTTCAGTGAATAGCGCTACGATGTCGCCGTTTAACTTTTCTTACTCTTGGATATGTTGGCTTCATATCCGTATTTACATATTTGCAAAATTCTATCGCGTTTTTTCACAAACCTCGCGCAAACCACCGGTATACTCTAACTTTAACACCAAAAAACGTGCTTGAAATTTGTGATTTTCGGAAAAAAAAACAAAAACTTAATGCAAAAAATAGAAATACGGATTTAAACTTCATGACCTTTGCTTCAAAACAGTGTAAAGTTTTTGATCCCATGAATGACTGTAGAGATGACAATTAAAATGTTATTCATGTTAGTTAAATTATCAGCCCCGCTGATTTTCAGAATCACGTGACGCTAAAACAAACACAATGTTCACAAAATATTAATAGTAGGAAAATACAAGTCAAGAGCTTTCTAAACATATATAGATTGTATGGTTTCTTGTAAAATTTATTCCGATTATAGGTGTTTACATTTTTCATGCAAAAAAACTATCCTGCTACCTTAAAATGTAAGTGTAATTACTGTAAAATACTTTATTTTAGCTGGAATTAATTTTCGCTGAAAAGACTTTTTGAGTAATTTGTATGGAATTTATTTTCACTGATTTTTGATGAGTTGTATGTAAAATATAGGAAAAGAGTTATCGCGATTGATTTGATTTTCATTGAATCTACCATTCAGCTAATATAGCGAAAATTAATTCCAAGCGAAAATAAAGTATTTTACAGTAGTTGTTATTATGTTCATACTGACATTACAATGACTTTGGCGCATTAAGTTTTAATAATATACATGTCCACATCGTTAATTTTGATAGCAATTATTAACAACATAGTATTCATTTCAGAAGCTATCCTTATGACAAGGCACTTCAAGTAGCAACAGAGAAAACAAATATATTTTGTAGGTCAGAGAAATCTGTAGATGGTTTTAACACTTCGCAAGGTTTCCGGCTTCACATTCATTCTGGAGTGTTGTTTTTTCGTTTTTTGGTGAGCAGGATTTTGTAATGATGTACAAGAAATGTGTGCCTTGATTTATTTTTATCTATACTTTAGATTTCTAATTACATCCTGTCAAAACAGTCCAACAGATTGTCTGAAACATGTCTGAAGTTATTTGATCGATAAGGAAGAAACAAGAGGCAGTCTTTCAGTTTTCAGTGCTATGGGCAACTTGTACAATTCACAAGTCATTCTTGTGACTGAAAGCGTTAATAAATGGGTTTTCTCACTGCCACCTTAATGCAGTGCTTTATTGATGAGTAATACGAGTGGAAACAGACTTTCATAATTTAATCGGTAAGTACACCAAACCACCACAGCAATAAACAGTATCATTCAATAAGTCCATTACATATCTCAACATAAAGAGGCATGCAATAATGGGGGTCGTGCATTCATGAAGGCCATGCAGGTGATTGCCAAGATGCCGCACCTTAATGTCCTTCAAAATAGACAAATGTATTATTCACCATTTCAACAGTCTGAGGCATTTTTTACAAATTATTAATCGTCTTCAGAGTACTGAAGTTCAAGCCTTGGGATAATATGAGGTTATTACTACAATATTGTAACTGTATAAATATAGGTATATAATCGTTTTATTGCTTGTATATACTGTAAAATGACTAATTTTCACTGGGTTTAAATTTAACTGATTTACCATTTCAGGCATATTCAGTGGGTTTTAAATTCACGGTTTCGTCATTTAGATAATGTGTTCTTGCTAAATTTTACATATTCACTGGGTTTTAATTTAGCGCATTTTCCAGTCAGCGAAATAAGCTAAATTAAAACCCAGTGAATAATTACCCCCTTTACAGTAGTAATAATTTAGTGGGAGATAACTGATCAACAAGTCAGCAAAAATGTTTGCATTCAGTGACGAATGTCCATCACACCCAATGTAAACAAAAGAAGAGTTGTAATATTTGTTGCAAATGCTGCTTTTCACCAAACGCTAAATTTCAATGGCAGATGTAGAGTGTAAAATACGAAAAATCCGGCACCGAACAGGCATCCAGCCGTGTGAAACGAGGTGATACGTTTTGTCACAAGACAAACATACTTACGTTGAAAACGTTCTTGTTCTTCTGGTTACTATAGGGCTTGGCAAAAGAAACTCACGACCAGAAATGGGCGAGCGTGGACCAGGTGATTTGTCAGGAGTAGTTGCCATAGTAACGGTGCCTACTTCGTTTTCTATCTGTAAGAGTAAACCGGAGACATGACAACGGGAGGTTCTGATGTTACATTATAGAGTCATTACATACTCATCAGTAACCAAGCAACTTGAAATGAACACATAATGAGTTATGCTGTAAATGTAAGACTAAAATAATTCCTCAATATGCTCGTTGGCTGTGATCATGAAGTTATTCTTTGCTTGATCATAGCTTACATATGGATGGGAAAGTCTATTTTATAATCACCTTCTGTTTTTTTCCTGTAATTTTTTTATTCTAAAAAAAAAAAAATTTTTTCGTGTTAGGTGACAGTGTCAGACACTGGTAGAAAAAAAAATGTCTCTACTGACTTTCTTTATAATTATTAATATTGCTCAACCATGCATACAGAGCATAATAAAACATATTTCGTATTTGAGACCTCATTACAGTGATGTAATGACATCGTAAATAACACAATCTAGGCCAAGTCTAACATAAGTGTATGCGAGTCGTAACCAAGAATCCCACAAAAGTGCATCAGCAAAAGAGAATAATTCACAGCCAGCATCGTTGTGAGTTCAAACACACGGGTTGGATTTTAACTTTGAACCTATCGATCACAGGTCCAGCGTAACAACCATAGATAAAAGCTATTTAAGTGAATTCCACAAACAAACATTTAAGTTGCAATCAATCAAAAGTGTTCCATATATATCAGGGCTATCAGTTACCTAGAAACTAATGTGGGTGATACATTAATGACTACACAAGATGTACCGGTAGTAGTCATTACACATGGCTTACCCTGTATATTTTAAGAGTAACTGCATTCAGCTGACGTGTAAGGTACAACAGTGTCTGGTACTGTGAACAAGAAAAATTTACGATGACAGACATTTCCCCACTACTACATAACATGTGTGTATTTTTCAGCCTTTTTGAACATTACAGCCTGATACGACAGAATTACGATATCATACAATTGTGTAATAACTCACTCACTTCATATGTGAGTGGATAAATCATCTAATCAATATGTATCATATTAATATTATTTATCTACACTTTATATTAACGACTGTTTCAGAAACGACCATAAATCAATGACCACCGATATGTATTATGCAGGAGTGGAAATTCCGAGCGAATAAGAGTAAGTTTTATTACTCAACTGACTACTCATTCAAAGAACAGATGTGATAAACTTATTTCTGAATATTGCTACCTACTGTAGTTATCCAAATCAAGTTTGAGGATTCTAACTGAAGAGTTAGCTAAATCTATCTCAAGAATTAGCCACACCTAGAGTGGGGTTAGACGTTAGATGTTAATATCTGTACAGTTTAGAAATAACAGCACATAACACACAAGGGTATGTAATTAAGGTAACAGAATACGAGAGATCCCACTGATCACAAGAAATCGACAGACAAACGTACATTTTTGTTAATTAAAAGCGTGTGAGCGAGTCTGAAATAGCAAAAGTTGTTGTAGTTGAATATAATTGGATTCCCGATACTTGATAAAAGTGTTCATTGCACACTGCTATTGGTCATAACACAATTGATATTCATGGTATATAAGCGTTGAACACATTAATTGTGGTGTCATGGGCTGTGTTATTCACTAGCCGTCAAAAAACAAAAAAACACTAGTATCAAACAGCTTCACGAAAAAGGTGGTATCAGGAGATAACCTTACTCGGAGAGTGTCATACGATATAAATAAAGATTACTTATGTGAAATACACGTCTTACATATAATTGATTTTAGCGTCTGACTGGGTTTATCCTGCAGTACATCATACTTGTCCGAGCATGTTTGATTTTTCAGTTCTAGAATTCTAATAATTGTACCTTCATGTGCAGCACTAACAACGATTGTATTTTTACCTGTATACGAGGGCATTCGGACGTCATTTTTGAAGGAATAAACACTCACTAGATACACAGTAAAGGACACAGACGAGCAAGCAAGCGGCACAAGATGTCAGCCGAGACTAGATCCAGGTATCCCTTCTTCACTGCATTCAATATATGGATTGATATCTATCACAATTATGGACAAAAACACTTCACAGGAGGGGGGAGCTGTACAACATCAAATTAATACTACCCCCAAGGCACTTCAGAGCTTTTTGCCATCTTTATGCTGTTGTCATGGAAACCTGTCACATGGCTTCAAGTTTATTCTTACAAAATCGCCTTTTGCCATGTATGACACAGTCACACTTGGACGTCGATCGGTCAAAGGTTACGAGGAGAGTAGTCTGTCTCGGTGACATAACGGTATAGGTCTCGGGTGAATGAGCATAGAGTTGACAGTGGAACATCACAATAATTTATTTCATAATTACCCTATCCCAAATGTGACCAAATCAATTGTGACACAGGAAATGTTCTCTAAAAACTCTTGCCAGTAATTTTTCATCAAATACTGAAGTCATAAATTGTCATCAGTCATAATTATCAAAAAAGATGTCCACCACTTGTAATTGTCTTAGAATACATTCGTATTCATTATGTCCACATCGTTTAGTCGTGCATTGTATAATAATATACATTTAAATAAATTATTTTACGCTAATTTGAGCAAAGTAATGATACGAGAGAAACAGTATGTGTGCATTTATTATATCAACAGACAATCACTATGGAACTTCCATACTCCAAGTTTCATATTTGACTTTCAAACATGACCTTCACAATGAAAGTGTTCAAGCTTGCTAACGCTGCAAGCATCCAACCATTATTGGCCACAAGTATCCAACTATTATTGGCAACAAGCAGCCAACCATCAAATTATAGATTATTTAAAAGTCTTTTAAGGTCTATGATTATTTAAACTAATGCAAATCAGACTTATAATGCTAGTTGCTGAGGTAATTGACCAGAGAAGAAAACGCATCATGAAGCTACCAAATCTAATCCAATAAAAAATAAAATGTTCAAACAATTTAACATATTAGCATTAAAGATATTAAAATGACATTAGAATAATGTGATATTTATTGCTTTTCATGAAGTTAACCATTGGAGCACTAAATTTTTGCTCGCTTAAATTCAAAGTAAATTTGTTCACATTTTCACTGATTTAAACTTAATTTTGGATCAAACAGGTAAAATGTGAGATTGATTATTGTTTTGGATCAAAAAAATTGAAATTCTATCAACATCTACAAACAGACTATAGATGAAACTATTTTTGTCGATGGTTGTCTAAAGTTGATTTTGGCGCTTAAAAGGCAGTTGGAAGCATTTTGTAATTTACATAATTACATAACAATGAATGCATGTAAAATGTCACGGAATACATCCATCATGCAGCTACACAGGGAAAGTGGCAACTTTGTTGTTAGCCGTAAAAAGATACAGGGCTGGCATGCAAAATCTAGGCAAGGCAGGGGGTTCTGGGAAAAGCAAAATTTTTTTGTTATTCATTTGGAAGGAAAGAACATTGCTTTCGCGCAAAACATTCAAAATAAGCCATAATTATTCTGATGCTAATGGCAACTATCCAAGGACGATAAATTAAGAGATATGAAGCATTTATGAGACTATACCACTTACTAAGTAGGGGTGGGCAGGTATATCTTCAGAAGAGGATGACAAGGACCAAAGCTAAGAACTAAATGAAAACTGCAGGGGGGGGGGTCTGCAATACTGTCCACAATTCAGTAAAATCTATAACATCACTGAGATTCCACACAGAGTGGAAAAAGCTCATGTTACATTGACATTTCCCATCGCATTATACTATAATTGTACTGTACCATTCATTTTCACAATTTTGATGTTTTGAGCAGATTCATAGGATTTTAAGTTCACATATTTGGCATGGAAACAATGTGTATTTAATTTAGCGAATTTTACATATCAACGAAAATAGCGAAATTAAAAACCAGTGAATAATTAACGTTTTTATCGTAATCAGCATCGTTTTCTAGAACCTCATTACAGATGTATAATAATGTACTATTTTATGGGTGACTTATTTTAAACGATGACCATTTTCTAAGAATAATAACATTGAATTTCCTCCACCCTGCCACTAGTGTCAAGAACAGACATAATTTGTTGACAAACCTATAAGTTAGTCGCAGTCAAGTATATAATTGGAAGTTTGTACATGAACAGTTTCCAACACCATCCTAATAGTTGAAAGGGTTATTGTACAAGGTCAAATCTTGTGATGACCTCCTCGCCAGGCGAGTCCACCTTTCACAGTAAATGTGTACATTTGCTGTGTACAAGAAGAGCAGTCAAAACAGGAAGTGGAAACAAACATCACACAATGAACTACCAATAGAAGTAGGGATCAAGAGTTAACTGTCATGTGACAATGATTGATTACAATGTATGCTCAAACCGTGAAAGCGATTCAGTTCAACACAAAAATAAAACAAAGTAAATAAAGTTACCAGGTTTACATAGCAGTATTTTATCTAAGTCAACTATAGCTCTACCCACCAATTAACAGAAAAGTATCTCTGTTGTACACATGTATTATTGTTTCAAAGTTTGATGGAGCAGAGCTGAAGGGGAGGGGGGGGGTCTGGTTTAGACAGCCAGGGTCATGTCAGGGCTCTGTCCTATCAGAGTTCAACTCTGAGGCATTATTGGAGTCTTGGCGAAAGCTGACTGCATTTACATCATTATTTTTGCTGTTGAGATCCAATGAAATGCTGACATGTAAACAAGATATACGTTAAATACAATGATCACCCTAATAATATAACGTCACGCATAACCTTCAAACGGTAAACCTTACATTGCGTGTTGAAAGTCTCACTCCTCGAGGAGCAGCCTTATTACATGTACATGTAGAAGAGAATTCATGCTTGCTTTCGGATCGTATTCATTTTGGGTATAAACAATGGGTTATTGTGTTTTTTATAACGAGTTATTTTCTGATAACTGTTTAAGTGTTCACCTTGAATAATGACATCATAAGTGCTGTGTTATTCAGGTAGCCATTACCGTCAGAGCATGGTAAACAAGTCAGTACAATCTCCTCTAAAGGATATTGTAAAGGTATTAATTATTCATTGTTTTTTAAAATTTGATATGTTCACTGACGAGTAAAAATCACTAAATTAAGTCTGTGTGAATATGCAAAATAACAATAAAAGTGTTTTTCTGGAAAATTTGCGATTATAGTGAAATTAAACGCAAGTGAAAATATATGGTTTCACAGAAGACAACAAATGTCCAATAAATCAACACAGCAGAAGCAGACGAAAAACAAAATTTAATTTTCACAGAATACTTAATATTGAATGATTGAAAACATAATTATTTAAGTAATATAAAGTCTGGCTAGTTATTGTATTATTTATTAAATAAAATTTATCAATTACTTAACCACAGCTACTTAATTTGTTGCAAGGTAGCAACACACGAAATACCGGTAGTATTACATTTTAAAAAATAATCTCTGATTATGGAATCTTACATTGCATTCTTTATTTACCATAGGTCTAAATTTACAATGCATGATAAGATGCATTTAGTGAATAATTTCATTTTCTTTTCAAAAACAAAACAAAACAAAACAAAACAAAACAAAACAAAACAAAACAAAACAAAACAAAACACAGATGAACATTAACATTGCCACTGTACATTCACATAACCAGGCCGAGTGACAACTAAAAAAAAACAAAAACAAAAAAAAACACCGAGCCGGTTTACTTTGTAATGTGAAAGTCTCTGGCTAAGTCTACGTTGTAAAAAGAAATGGACTGCAAATGAAAGCAGACGTGATTGTCGCCAATCACATAGATACATTTTTTATAGAGTTCATCGTACAAAGTGACGTCACTGGCTGTGTCCATGGAAGTTGTCACAGACGCGCTGATATCACTAGTATGTGGTACAGGTATAAACATTTTGTTGATATAGTATCTACTGTTGATAAGGCTAAAGGACAGTTTAACAGATAATAATTTTGATTATATGCTGGTTATGCATACTTTGTAATCTGTTCGACAGGAAGACAGTGGTATGTTTAATGGTTATATTTTGATTAAACCAGCCATAACTTCCAGTGTTCTTAGATGTACACAGAGGTTTTTAATTGCTGGATGGCTATTGCATTGTTGTGTGTGTGATTATTTTCAGTTTTTCTTTTTTTTCTGCTCTGTCATGCTGTATATTTATACGCGCTACAATGTAGTACAAAACATTATTATTAATATTATTATTATTAATATACTGATTGGAGCCATTTCACATAAAAAGTGTTGAATTAAATAGTTGCGTGGTCTGCCATTTTATTCAAGTTAGTATTCACTGTCCATACCATTTGATAATAAATTTAATTTCTCTGCGATCAAATACGAAGAAACGCTTCTATAATTACTATCATTATCATTACTGAAAAAGTTGTCTTTCTCAACTCATTGATGCTTTTATAAGTCTCTGACTGAGGTACATATATTATCACAGGATCATGAACACATTTTAATAATCAAATTGAGTGACTATCGGATATCCCTCAAACTATGAGGTACCGACCGGTACATACAAAAATCTGTGACAAGGTTATAAAAACACAGAATGAACAACGGCGTTTGAACTTTCATAAGTCAATCTCTTAAGCAAATAATACCACGAAATGTACAGGTATTTTTTCTATACATGTATCTCAGCTTTTTGAAAAAATGTAGGATACTGCAACGATAACAAGCTATTAAATTACCAAGGGAATAGCCCTATAACAGCAGCTAGGACAATGACCACTTATTTTAATGAGGGCAGTGACCCCTAACCGTAATGTCAAAAAGCATGTTTTTGTACAAGTTTGGCATAAAACTAAAAACAAAATGCTTTTAGTTGTTAAAAAAAAATAATCCAGGAAGTGCCTTTTTTTGGTTTTTATTTCTGAATCAATATTTCACAATATTTTGACAGAAGCTGGAAAATCAAGCCATGCAAGGCACAGTCCTCTTTAGTTATAAAATTTAAGATATATAGTTTTGTTTATAGTAATATAATTGGGAACATAAACATGTCAGAAGTATGGATTCAGAAGATGATGCTTGATTTTTGATGATTTTTTTAGCACAAAAATGGCTGCCATTTGGCCATTTTGAATCAGATAGTCAAACCAATATATGTATGTCATGATGTATAATAAATATATTAAGTTGATCATAATCAGTCAAGGCATGGCAGAGATATGGCACTGCACTAGAACTGCATTCATTAAAACAAAATGGCCACTAGTCATTCATTTTAAATTGGATCTGAAAAATAAAATGATGTGCATCAAGGTCCAATAATGTCGAATGTATGTACCAAGTTTGAACAAACTCCATCCATAAATGCTTGATTTTGATGATTTTTTAGCATAAAAATAGCCACCATTCAGCCATCTTGAATCGGATTGTGAAACAAATTGATGTGCATATGTATAGTATTATGCATGAAGTATGTTTGATTGTGATTGGTCCAGGCATGTCTAAGATACAGGTCCGGACACACACACAGATGCATAGACGAACAAAGGTGAAAACTGCGTCCAAGCGAGGACTAAAAATGATGCGAGTGACCCTTTTGCATTCACTGACCAGAAACAAAACATTTTTGTTTGGGCTTAATTAATCATCCTTTTTATGAGGGTTGCTAGGTTCAAACATATACAGCTACATGTATTAAGGGACGAACCATAAATTCTCCAGGGAACAGTTTGGGAGATTTAGATACAATATCTATATTTATGGATGAAAGAATTTTAATTTTCTCAATCAATATTAAATTGCGGTGGCTGCCATGAAGTGCAAGTTCAAATTTTGCGTAATGTACACAATGTATGTTAAGTTACAGGTGTGGCCCTGTTCGGGTCACTTGTAGAAATTAATTGCACAGGTTAGTTAATTTTCACATGGTTCACAGAGGTGGTTCTCTGCGCTAAAATTAAAATGCGTGAAAATTTTGTTTAAGGGTTATTCATTTTTCATTTCGATGTACACAACAAACAACCCCCGCATTCATGCATTCAAGCAGTGAAAAACAAAGTATTCATTTAATGTTTTTATTTCATTGTTAAAAATTTTTTACAGTCAATAAATATTTTTTCTATACACAAATAGTAGTTAAAATCTTGAAAAATACTTGTCTGAAATCTGACACCTCAGCGTGACAGCACCGGAAATTTAAAAAAACAAGTTCAGACATGATGTTTTCCTTCTGAATGTTATACCAGTAACGCAAGACAAGTGAATGAAAATGTTATGTATTCATCTGAATTCTGGTTTTAAAAGGAGACACTTTAGAACAACAGCAATATTCGTCCAACTGTCAACGTATTCCACATGTTCGCGAAGTGGCTTCAGTCGATCTGTAATGCCAGGAAGTTGAAAGCCCTGTGTACACAATTCCTGGCTATTTTCAATAGACTGCAGGGCTTCAACTAATCATTTAGCATGAAGTGGTTTTAATTCCGAAAGAGGAAGATTATCTTTGACAACGGGAATATCAGCTCCCGTCTGCAGTTAGATTTCATCGAGTAATTGAAAGGTTTGTTTACGGCAAGATCAAGGAATTGCAGCTGATTGATACAACAGGCCAGAACAAAAACAGTGGCGATCTTCACATCGACGTGCTCTGAATACATCAAATATTGCCAGGGCTTTTTGTTCTTCGGCTGGCGTGTCGATGTCACATACGGAATGATAACAGTGTCTAAATAACGATGCATTCTTTGCAAAATGGATGTCGTGCTGAGTGTGAACTGCAGTAATTATAGCGATAATCCTCTGATGTGTATTGGCTAGTGGAAGTGTAACACTCGCTTTCAGTGTGTGAATTAGTAAGACATTGAATGCTCTTTGTTCTTATTTGCTAAGAATCTGTTTGCTAAGAATTTGTTTACACGTATAAAAGAAAGGTCAAAGTTGAAATAATTCGTCTGCAAAGAGAACGCGAATAATAAAATGTGTTAATTAGACAAAATTTGCTTTCACACGAAATTTTCATTGCGTGAAAATTCCTCGTCCTACAGTATTCAGAGGGGCGCATTGAATTACACTAGGGGGGAGGGCCTAGAGTGTTAGAGTTAGGATTCAGGTTAGGGGTGAGGGGGCCTCAAGGAACTCTTTCCGAATTACAGTAATTTGTTCATTAAAAAGAACGCAAGTACAAGTAGTACCTTCATAGTTTGGCACAGATCATTAAATTGTGAATGTGAGACAGTGTCAAAAGAGAGGTTAAAGGTCATTTGACCACAGTAGAATTCTATTCTCTAAGACAGACCGGAAACGGAAACGAGACAAAAACAAAAGATTTTTCAAGTTAGCGTGGGGGAAATAACGTTGCTAAGTATTATCGTCAGGGAAAGCTATTGTTTAAGCTAGTCTGTGATTGGTTGCTGGCAATGTTTGGGGGATTTTGACCAGTTTGTGACGTAGGCTTGTCTTAGAGAATATAGGCAGTATTCATAAGTCTTGCGATTGGTCAAGTTGTTTACCATGTCACCATGAAAAGGGCTCCTCAAGGTTCCCCCACCCCCAACCTGAATCCTAACCCCAACACTCAAGTCCTCAATATAATTGTTTACGCTACTCGAGGTAACTCGTTTTGAAGAGAGGCATATACAAATAAAATAGAGGGAGGGGCACTTGAGGGTTGGGATTATAGTCATAGTTGAGGGGGCCCTGGAGAGATTTAATTTTGGGGAGAATCGACACCTCACGACACTCCGGGATGACACTATGTAGATATGGCGTGAATTCAATTGTCAGAGCTGGCTAAGGCAATCAAAAGAGG